GGCTCACCATATCGAGTGGGTCATAGCCCCTGACTCAAGTTATCGTATTTTGATCTCCAAACAACCTTGGCTAGAGGAAAATAAATCCCCTTTGCCCCTTGCTAGACATTTGGTTCATTATGGCCTGCATCACAAACCCTCGAGATCCTTGAAATGGATTAGTCCTTATGCAGGATGTATGCAATGGTATGATGGTATGATGTTATGCTATGCATGGAGTGATGTAAGTAAACCCTGTTATGAGCCCAGATTAAGGACTGTAAACAAAACCTGCAAGGAACTCATGTTGTCAGATAACTAGAATGTGCAAGTAGTTCAAGTTTGAAGGCACACAAGTCACACAAAAGAGCCCTTAGATTTCAGGCCGGCGTGAAGTTTAGGTACTACCCTCTTTCAGTTTCAGTTGGTTAAGACCTGTCCTAGAAAATAGTAACCGGGTTCTAGAGGATCTCAATATCACTGACTACCCTCAATCGGTCATAACTCCAGCTTCACAATCTTTTCTTGCGGCCAGAACCATCGCGAGAGTTTAGCCTCAATGAGTGTAGCATACTGCTACTGTTCTATGGCCAAGTTAGGTCAATTTAGGGTTCTAAGGTCGGTTGGTGCTTAATGACTCCTCAGAAGACCCATATTCTCCTCGTTCCAACACAAGGGATATCGGTACAGACCAAGGTGTCACACCAACATAGCTACTGCTTCACCCGTGTCGGTCTACGCCGGACAGGTCCCTCACAGTTTATTGCTACCTAAAGGGTATTCCCCAGATCCGGGTTAGGATCTATGAAACTCCGATGCAAGCCCACAATATTAAAGCAAACAAAGCATTCAATTGAAAACATAAAATGATCTAATCCTAAGGTACACCTCACTTATAAATCTCCCCAGCAGAGTCGCCAGTTCTGTGATCGGTGGAAATAGAACTGACTGTTTTGAAATACTGGTTTGCGAAATGTCGCGGTAAGCAAGAGTCGCCACCGTCTTTTATTTTCTCCAACAAGGAAAGGACAAAAGCACAGCAAAATTCCTTTTCGAGATGTTTCTCGGTTCGGGAGGTAGATTATAGAAAGGGAAGGTGTTAGCACCCTTTCTATCCGTGGTTATCCACGGGCTCTTAGGTACTTGCTCACTATGTTTTCAAAAATGTTTGCTTTTCTTGTGTTTGTGGGTTTTGAAAAAGTTTCGTTTTGAAAACTTCTAGGTAACTCTTGTATCTGTCCTCAAGAGTGTATGAAGTATTTGTTTGAAAAACTTTTTGAAAGTGTAGGTGCGAAAAGTTGTTTTTTTGTTTTGAAAGAGCAAGTACCCAGGAGAAATCTACCTACTCTAAGGAATTAAGCTGTGTAAGAGTCCTTTAGACAGTACTATCCCACTATTAAGAAGTAGGTAGCACCGTCGTTGGAGTTATTCGGGTCAATTCGATTATAGGGACATGTGTGGTCACCAAAGCAATAGTAGGACGCCTTAGCGGTAACCCTAATGTCCTAGATCCTTTTTTATCCGAGGCAACCGTTTCGAGGCAACTGGATCTTTAGACAGGAGGGCGACCTCTAAAACACCCTATACTTAATGACCACCTCGAGGCAACCAAGTGAGGCGTACCCTAGGAGTGGCATGTGCACGTGTGTCAGGTTTCATTTAAATTATCTTTGAACATGTATCATTGTGAGCTACGGGTTGATTTTATTTTTTCAGGCAAGTCTTGTCATGCATAGTTAACAGTTAATAATTGTGCGGAAAATAAACTGTGGAAAGTGAATCTACGCTATTACAAGGCGTCGGGTATTTACATCGCCAAAAACATAACCCTTTGGAAAAGATAAATTGCGAGAAAATAAATAAAGTGATAAAAGCCCTAATTATCTATTACATTCTCGGAGCAGTTACATAAATATGATCAAAATAGGAATAATGCGCGAAAAGAAATTGAATCGGGAAAAGTTTTAGGGTTTTGACCCCTTTTGAGAAAAGAATGGAATTTTGGTCCTTTTTGCAATTAATTAATATTAAACCTAATTTACTAATTAATTAAATAATTACAAGAAAAAAAGTATTTTTGTGTTTTTTATGTTTTAATGAAAATAAAATAAAAAGAAATTAAAAGTTGTCAAGAAAACCCTAATTCTAAATTTATTTTATTTATTATGAAAAAGAAAGTCAAATTTAACCTAATTAACTAAATTAATTATATTTAGAATTTATTTACAAAAATAACTAATAGTGAAATTAATACATAATAATAACAATAAAAATATTTACATTTTAATTTTCTGAATTTATTGTGAAAATATAATTTGTGAGGTAATTAAATAATAATAATAATTATAGTTAATAAAATAATTAAATAGAAATTAAAATAGAAAAGAAAATAAAAATAAAAGTAATAAACCACGGGGTATGCTGGCCCACTAGGAGGTTAGAAAGCAATTCTGGCCCATGAAGCTATTCAGCCTGTTTGACTTTGGGGAATTGTCCACGCATGCTTTGACTAGGGAATATGGTGTTCTTCATCTCCTGGCCATTGGATTGATGCATAAGGCCACTTGGCGCGTTGTTGGTTGGAGGCACATGGTGGAACGTAGCCTGAAGCCTGCATGTGATCCAGTTATGAAAAATAATATAGGAATTTTGGGGGACCTGGGAATCGAACCCAGGTCCCAATGATTCACGTCCAGCGCATCTACCACCAGGCCACTTGCTTGCTTTGGTTATTATAATAAGAAATAAATATAATATATAGAAAATAGTAATCATGCTGAAAACAACAAAAAACGCGCGTAGTTTTGAATGCTCCAACCACAACTCAACACGTCTTCATCTCCTTCGCTGAAGCCTGCAAATAATAAACAGATAGCAGGGGTTTTTAACCCCCACAATTCAACATGAGGAATAATAGAGAATAGGTCCCTGATGCACATAAATATTTCGCGAGGGTGGTTTTAGATTCGTCTTGTCTCAACGAATTCAACCATGGGTCTCTCAAGGTTTGATTTTTCCTGTACAGCAAAGCCCTAATCTGGAAACTCAAGAACCCTAAAATTCATCAATGGCGTTTTACGATTCTTTGTATTTTAATCCAATTAAACCATACCATCAGCTTCCTATGAGTTCAAGCAATACAAAACAAACACAAAATCATGTTAATGATGCATGAAATAAGCAATTCGATTCCAGAAAAAAAAACGCAAACCGTTAAACTGTTCTTGATGATTCTGATAGCTTTAAGGCTTGGTTTTGATTGCAATATGTTTCTGAGAACCTCTGCAATGTATTAGAAACAATAAAAAGCTTTGAATCACGTTAGAATTTGGAAATCAGTTTTCACTTTTTCTTGGATTTTTTTGAATGTGATTATGGCTTTCTTGCAGCAAATTCTCGTCCATGGCATTAGGGTTAGGTTGTGTACTTATAGTAGAATGAAACTAGGTTAAATCCTTGAGCAAAGATCCATGGAATGATGGTTTCAATATTTGATTTTCAATCATATATTTTTGAATCTTTTTGATTGGAAAATCTTTCCAAACTTCGAGATTCTTGTCCCCTTGATGTACACACGAGTTTGCCAGCTCTTTTAGGTCATATTTGCTTCATGAAAAGATTAAAAAACCATATCTTTGTATTTCCTACAATTTAAATTAATTAAATGAATTAAAATCAATTAAAAATCCAATTAATTAATAAAAATAAGAAAATAAATTCAATTTAAGCTTAATGGGTCGTGCATAAGTCATGGACAAAGTTTCAAGAAGAAATTTGAGGCCCATTAGCAAAAACAAGGTGTTTTGGGCAAAGTTGACTTTTGCAAATTCACAAAATGTTTCCCAACTTCTCTAATGCATATCTTGCTCAATTTTGATCATATGAACATGTTCTTGGATATTTTGGAAAGGTCTTGAAGTCCTCTAACCAATGCCTTTGGTCCCATGTCATTTGGATTTACCAATCTCAAGTTATGGTCTTTGACTTAAAGTGCATTTTTGTTGACTTTTGAAATTGACCTATAATGTAGAATTTGATAACTTTTTGTGAGAGCATTACTTGGACTTGGAATGTGAAGATGAGTTGTAGTAAATGTCATCCCCTTCAAAATGAGAATTGGATGGGATTTTTCTGATGAACCATGAAAAAGTTATGCCCTGGTCAAGATACAGTTGACTTTTCTGCTGTCCAAAAATAGTAACTTTTGCATCTTGATGATTTTTGAGCCATGCTTGTGGAATCATGATCAAGACTTAATCAAATGATGATTGTGGGCTCAAAATAAGATGTTGACCAAAAATTCTAACTTTAGACTGCAAAATGACCATTTTACCCTTGTAGTTGATTGTGGATCAAATGGAGCTTTTGACTGTGCAATTTGATGTTGTGAGTCTTGAGACTTGACATGTAGCTGCTTGGGCATGTATAGAGGCCTATGGGACTTGATTGAGCCATTGAAAACCTCAAATTCCATGAAAGAATCAAAACCCTAATTTCAGCTGATTTAGGAGGTATTTTGACTGTGCAATCCTTTGAGAGATCTTGAACCATTTGAAGATGATTCTTGATAAACCTTGGAGAATATGGGAGGGAAAATTTTGGGGTACAACAGTCGAGTTCTAGTCGATAAAGAGATCTTTGTCGATATAATATATGTGAATCTATTCACCATTCCCCAGCTCGACCACACGCACTTGACATTATATGCAGTCTCTTATCTATAGGGTTTTAATGGCACAAACACCAATCCCTGGGGTCACATCGAGTTGTTGATCATCTTCGAGGAAGAAGCAACAGCCAGACAAGTCACAGTCTGCTTCTTGGCCATCGGGTACTCTTCTTTGTACAATTGTATCTTTGGAAGGCCAACGGTGGCCGAGCTGACCGCCATGTCATCCACAGTCTATTTGAAGATGAAGTACTACACCAAAAGGGGTCGCATCATCACCATGCACATGGACATTGAGGTTGCAATGAGTTGTTTCTGGGAAGCCACTAAGGGGCGGAACTCAATTGAAACAATGCCCAAGACTGGCATCAAACAAGCCCAACCAGCAGGCGACAAGCCAGCTCGAGAGGGGGAACAAAAATCACCTCACATCAGATTAGTGGACCTCGTTACCTGTTTCACCGAAGAGGGAGGAAGGAGTTGCCCGACCCGCTAACAACAAGGAGCCTCTCCATCTCGTGCGCCCCATTCCAGCCATATATTTTGAGGTTATCCTCCTCAGCTATGACCTGAACAAAGGTGTGAAAATTGGGACAAGACTTCCCGACCTAGCGAGGAAGCAACTCAAAGCCTGCTTGAGAGAGAATGATGACCTGTTCGCATGGAGCGCTGTTGATATTCCCAGACTCGACCATAAGGTCTCTTGCCATCATCCAAATCAGGAAATTGGGTTAACGTAAATATTCCTCCAAATGGTTATATTGTTCTTGTTGGTGACATGTTGAAGGTAATATATAATTATGTATAAATGATGTATTTATTCGTTATTATATATCAGATATATCGTTTAATAAATCTAATTTTTGTGTATTTTAATTACTTTAAATGTATACTAATTATTCATGTATAGGCATGGAGCAATGGGAGACTCCAAGCACCAACACATAGAGTGGCGACAAGAGGAGACAAAGAGAGATTGGCATTTATTCTTTTTGCTGTGCCAAAGCAGGATACACTTATTAAGGTGCCCTCTGAATTGGTAGATGAAGATCACCCTCTTCGTTACAAGCCCTTCAAGTATGAGGACTTCATAGATTTTCATTATACAACTCGCACCGAAAAGGGAGTACTTGAACAACTTGCTGGAATTTGATGTCATACTATATGATTTTCTTTATGTCATAATATAATAACGCAGAGTATTTTGGACTCTCACTTTTTTGTAGTTTGCAACAATAGTGAAAATAAGAACCTTTTTCTTGTTAGAAGATTGAAAGAGGGTTCCATTCTCACTTTTGCAATAAATAATAAAGATTAATTAAATAAATGTATTGTTTTCTTTCTTTCATATAATGCAAAATTATTTAAGTTTCAATGAGTTGCACTCTAATCTTATTTTAGAGTATTATATTAGCGAGCAAACGAGTAATATCATGTCTATTTTTCTTTTCTTTTCAATTTCTTTTTATAAAATATAAAATAAAAAATAAAAAATACATTTGTTTATATATTTAATAAAAAAAGTGTTAATAAAATAATTAAAATAAATAGTAAAATTGGAATAAAATATGATTACGCTAAAAGTTACCACAAATTATGTGTCTACTTTGTATTATTTTTATGCATGAGCATATTTAGAATATCAATCTAAAATTTATTAATATTTTATTTCAACTCATCAAAACATCCTATTATTAATATAATTAAGAATACTTTAAAAAATAAATTTTAGTTTATCCTTAAAATTAATACAATTAGTTATTATTTTAAATTTTTTGTAAAATTAAAAAGAAAGACTTAAAATGAGATAGATTAATTATTTATACATAATTAATTAAATTACAAACATAATAATGTAACACCTCATATAATACTATCTAAAAATCATATTAAGTAAAGTGTTAATTTTTGGTATTGAGTATAATCATCATCTAGACGATTCAAAAATGTAATACATTAAAGTATATCAGATGTCCAATAAACAAATCAGAAAGTAACATAATAGAATTATCCATCAAATTTCTAAGTCTTCAACCTTTAGGACTTCTTGCCAAATCTTCAGACTTGTAGCTAACCTGAAAATAACAAGATAATTAGAGTGAGATTACTAAATCTTAGTGGAGTTCCCTATCTTATGATTTCACTCGGCTCTACAAGATTCTACTACTATTCTCGTACTAGTATTTCTCTCATGTAGTAGATACACAACGATAATAACGAAGCTCTGCTACCTTCTCAACATATGTGAATGTCATACTCAAACTGCACTTGTCATGCAGTTCCAGGATAATTAGTCCCAAAATAGATCACAAGGATTCCTCAATTTATCAGTCAGATATGGTCGATGGGATACCTGACCTATGGATTACACACTCCATTAGATATGGTCAATGGAATACCATACCTCTACTGCACGGAGTACACTATCTACCTAATATGGTCAATGAATTTCAGACTTCCACGATATGGATCAATCTATCCACCCGACATGGTCAATGGATTCTAGACCTCAAATGCGTAGAATACGTTATGCACCAGATATGGCTAACGGTCACTAGACCTCCACAGTGTGGATTACACTATTAATCAAATATGGCCAGTTGATACCCACTACTACAAAAAACACATCTAACGTCAGATACAAAATGCATTTGATATCGGTAACAAAAATGAGGTAAATAAGTTTATCCTAAAAGGTTACTTCTTATCACCTCAGATATTAAAATATCAAGGGGTCAAGTTAACTGCACGTGGGTTCGATTCCCAACATTAACATTTTCATTATTTTCAGAACTTAATGACGCACTACATATTGGCACTTGGTGTTTTGTAGAACCGAGGTAACATATCAATATTCTTATCTTAGTTTATTCTGGAAACTGAGGAGTTAAGATTTATTTTTTTCTTCTACTATCGTCTGCACCTGAATTACAGAACCATATTATAGAATACAGAATCATATTTTGCAGATTCCTGAAACAGAGACATTGTATATTTTGCCAATTTCTCAATCTGAAACAGAAATATTCATTAATTACACCAAAATAAAAATCTAAAATAGAACACACTTTATAATTTTACATCAAAACTAAACAAATGATTAAGAAACAAAATCAATAAACCATTTACTTACTAGTTTTCCCATATGCCCTCTTTATGATCATGAAGAATAACAAGCACATCATCTAAATCATTTTCATCAGATGATTGACGTACACGTGTTTCTAAATAAGGAGTCTCATGGTGAAAATATTGATTTTATCAGTACTATCAGGAAGATGTTTTCCTTGAAGAACAATTGACAATCTAGTGTTAGATGGATCAGTGACATGAAAAACTTATTTTCCTTAGTTTGCCATGATAATTGGTTCGTTCTTGTAAGTTGCCTTTCAAAGATCAATCCTTATGAATCCTAATTCATCGGTTTCTACTTGAAGCAACCGACAGAAAAAACAGAGCCGCCACCAAACATTATCTATCCCGAAGGAAGGGGAAATATCGAGAAAACTACAAGAGGATGGATAAGATGGTCTTGCGACCAAGAGAAAGGGTAAGGGAGTCGGTTATGCAAGGGGAAGGTATTAGCACTCCTCACATCTGTTGTACTCAATGAGATCCATTTTGTTTGTTTGTTTCTAAGGGTGTACTTATCTATAACTATACTTGCTTAAGGGGAAAAATGATTTTTATTAGTGCGTTCGCGAGGGTTTCGTGACCCTTTTCCTATGTATCCAGTGAAGGAATCAGAACACCATAGTTCTTCTAAAAAAGTTGGTTTGTTGGTGTTTTTTCAGTGGGTGATGTTAACGCACGCATTCTAGCAATAGACACGGTCTATATCACGGTAAAACAGGGATAACATGCCCTTTTGGGGAGTTTTGATTGGTTGAGTGTTTTACGAGTTTTAAATAAGTTCAAATAATGATTAAATGTTTTTGGATTTTGATTTGTGAATGATAAGTTTTAATTACAAAATAAGAAAAAACTTTAAGAGGGAGACTAAGAAATATTCTAATTTTGTCACGCATGGGTTTCAACCTAAGGTCTAATAAGTTCTCATCCTAAAAAAGAGAAAACTGTCATCTAAGGGAGCATGTTATAAGTAAAAGAGTCGGTGTTTTTGAAGAGTGATCGTGCATGGTGATCATAGCAAAAATGACGACAAAATGAGTAGTATCATGGAAGGTGTAAATGAAATACTCGGTGTATAGGTATTGAATCGGGTTATGGTTAACCAATGGGTGTACTTGATTAATCTCGTGAGAGTAGGTGCTCCTATCCTCAACTATGAGACCCTTTGTGCATGGAAACACTTGGTATATAGACCAAAGTGGTTGATTCGGGTTATGGTTAACCAAGGACAAAACTTGATTAACCTCGTGAGAATGGCCATGCCCAAACTCAACTATGAGACCCTTTAAGAAGATTCTTGGTATGTAGACCAAGGGGAGAGAAATTGCTTCAATAGATAAGATGAAAATCAAAACCCATACAAGGTGTCTATATGCATGCTCCTAAAAAGTGGGACTAGCGTGACACTAGTATTCTAAATGACCAATTGAAACAATCGGTTGAATAGTTGTCACTGTAGAAAAGCCCAAGACTAAACTATGAAATGTGTGCAAGTATGCATTTTGTAAGTAGATACCTACTCATTGACGATAAGCCCAAAAGAAGGCCAAGTGTTCTAACTTGGACCAAACATGTATCATTAACAATATAAACATGTAAGGAAAATAGTAGAGAAACAAAATTCTAAACTATTATAAACCATATGGGGATGAGGGTACAAGTTTTATGAATGAGGATGAGTCGAACCGAAAGTTCGATTAAAAATCCAGTTAAACAAGCAATATAACCAAATCGAAAATTAACAAACAAACTATCTATAAAATTAACTATTCTAAAATTTTTATTTTTATAAGCTATATATAAAAAAGGGTAATTGTATTATATATATATATATATATATATATATATATATATATATATATATATATATATATATATATATATATATATATATATATATATATATATATATATATATATATATATATATATATATATATATATATATATATATATATATATATATATATATATATATATATATATATATATATATATATATATATATATATATATATATATATATATATATATATATATATATATATATATATGTGTGTGTGTGAATTTTTAAGTAACAAAAACACTATAGAAAAATTAAAACTTAAATTCTAAACATATTTTGATTTTTAAGTAAAGAAAATATAAAAAAAAATTAACGATAACTCTATCCATTTTATATATTATTTTTATAAAGGAAATATTAAGAGAATATTAGAATTCAATTATAAATATATAATAATAAAGAAATTTATGGGTGGTTTCTTAAGGAAATAATTTACACTAAGTTAAAATAAGTTGCAATAATTTAAGCAAAATAAAATATTAAAAGAGAAACAAGGAAATATTGGTTTATAGAAAAAGTGGTCCACACAGGTGTTGAACCCGAGACTCCTAGTTTATCCTCTCATAGTCCTTTCCACTGCACTGGACTTAATCATTTGTTGTTCTAACAACTCAAAGACTATAAACCTCAAAACCCAGAAAATCAGTTAGGCAAGGCCTAAAATCGGATCCGGCTGGAAGAATAGAGAAGGGTTGATATTCTATGAACCCTAATTTTAAAGAGGGGAACCGCGGTGGATTACTTTGGGAAAGGAAAAAAAATAATTAACAATAAATCTGTTTGTTTTCCCCATGTTGATCGCATAATCATAACCACAAAATTATCTTCTCCTCCCTCACGCTCCTATCAACAACAGAACCGGGGAAAATCAAAATGAAACTATCCCCTCTCTCTCTCTTCGATCTCTCAGCCCTCAAACAAACAGAATGATTTGTTTTCACAGTAATAAAAAAAACGCCCTCTAGTTCTATTTCTTCTCCTTCTGATTCCGACTGGGTTACGGTTTTATATGGGTTGAAAACAGTTACGAGTTTTTTTGAGATTTCACGTTCTTGGTATTGATTTTAATTATTGCAGGTTATTGAAGTAAAAGCTCATAAGTGATTTGGGTTTTTTTTTTGGGGGGGGGGGGGGGTCTGAATGGTTAATTGAGACAGATATTCAGTGCTAACAGA